GATGTTTTGGTATATAATATGGATGGAAAAAGCCGGGAGTGCAAAAAGAATTATATGCACGTCATTCATTGTAATGTAGAAAAGCTCTTTGCGCAAGAGTAAAAAAATGAAACGAATAAATGTTAGCTTTAAAAGAAATTTTAAGATGAAAAAAAAGAAGAAGAAGAAGAGGAAGGAAAAAGAAACTAAGAAAAGAAATAATATGTAGGTGAAAATAGAAGTTTTTAAAAAGTAAAATACTTGTTTTTTATAGCCGTACACACGCTTAAGCTTGCATTAATTTACATAAAAAAGAATTGTAAATTATCGAGAAGATTGTATACATATTATCAAAAAGTTTCCTTCTTGTCTAAAGGTCGAACAATGCGGATGTTATCAAAAATTCTTGGTATACCAAATTCTTAATTTCACTTTCTAAATCTGAATCATCGGTAGATAGTTTTGCCATTAATATTCTAAGCATCCGATTGCTCAGGGTGTAGGTACTGATCCTACCGGATATGTTCTGGTATCTATCAAAAATTAGAAAGTGCCACAGTAATTTTTTAGGGCATCCTAGAGATTTTTTTCCGGAAGTTCTTTCGGAAGTCCTTAACCAAAAAAAAACTTGGGGCCTCCAATTTCTCCTACAGTACAAGAACTGTAGGTTCATTCCTGATGATAATGGAAATGATTATGATTATGATAATAATGATGGTGTAGGTTCAAGTGCTGTAGGGATGTTTTATGATAATAATAATAATGATTATGATAATAATGATGGTGTAGGTTCAAGTGCTGTAGGGATGTTTTATGATAATAATAATAATGATGTTGTAGGTTCAGGTGCTGTAGGGGTTTTTGATGATAACGATAATTAGGGTATTAACGATAATGTTACTAATGATGTTGATAATGATAAGGACAATAACGATGTTGTAGAGATTCTTGATATTTCGGTTTAGGATGATGAGTATTATAACGATTATGATGATGATAATAATAACCATCCTGTAGGTTTAGGTGCTGTAGGGGTTCTTGATGATGGTAATGATTATAAAGATGATGATAATAACGATGCTAATAACGATTCTACAGATTCAGGTGTTGTAGGGATTCTTGATGTTTACGGTAATGATGATTAGGATTATGATGATGATGATAATAATGATCCTGCAAATTTAGGTGCTGTAGAGGTTTTTGATGATAATGACAATGATGATTAGGATAATAAAGGCAATGTTACTAATGATGAGGACAATAAAGATGCTGTAGGGATTGTTTAGGTACTGTAGGGATTCTTGATGTTGACGGTAGTAATTATTAGGATTATAACGGTGATACAGATAACGACAACAACAATGATGACAAGGGTAACGACAATAACGATTATGATACTGATGATGATAATGATGAGAACCCTAAAGAGGACAACAACCCTAATTATACTAATGATAATAATAAGAAAAATAACTAAATGGTTGTAATGATTATGACAATAACCAACATGTTACGGATAACGATGATGATAAAAAGAAAAATAGTAATGATTACAATGATGATGATAATGATGATGACAACGATGATAATAATGATGGCAACAATAACGATAATGTAACAGATGATTATCATCTGTAACATTTTCGTTAATGTTGCCATAATAATAGGGAAGATGATGATAGTAATAATGATATTGGCAACGTTGATAATGACAATGATAATAATGATGATAATAATGAAGATGATGAAGATGTTAATGATGATAATGATGATAATGAAGATGATGATGAAGAATAAAAAAGAAACTGGAAAAAGCCTTAAAGAGGACCTGGAAGGCACGCCTCCTAGCCTCGTTAGTCCGGATAGCGGCGAATGTTGGTTTGGTTCACTTTACTCGACCATACAAACGGTATGCGGTGGATATACCATTCCGGAGGTCACCATTGACGCAAATCCATCCGAAGTCACGTGACTCTCATGCTCGACACAATACCCTACGTTGCTCGCTTGTCCACCACCTTTCGTTAAATCAACTCCTATATATGTGCAGTCCAAGTCACTTATGTATATACATATTATAAAAGTATTTATAGACAGACCACCCACTAATTTTAATAACTAATTAGCTCTCTTTTACTGAAGATTTTTTTCTTTGATATTTCTAACAAAAGGCCATCATCCACCCAAAATATTATAATCATCTTTCATATATATTAATTTTAGACACTATTTTACAACATCATTAAACTATATAACCACTATATTACTCATTCTTCTCAAACTATTTTTAAATATTTTAAATGAGTATAAAAATTATACTCATCTCTATAACTCTTCTCTTATAATTAGTAATTACATAAATTAAAATTAGTTCCACTTTCTGTTATATAATTAATAGCATAATAATGTATAAAATTTGTAATTTGCTCGTATCAACTGAAATTGTATTTTAATAGTCAAAAACCAACAGTTAAAATTACTGCGATAGTATAGTAAAAATTACTTATAGTATAGTAAAAATTAATGATAGTATAGTACAAATTACTGATAGTATAGTAAAAATTACTTTACCCGCGTTTTCTCCGTGTATTTTAATTTTTGAATGAACTCTACAAAAAAAAAATTTTCGAGTATATAAAATGTTTTTACAAAAACATGACAAATTTTATAAAACAGAGGCGTGAAAAATTTAAATAATCGCACGATGAAAACAAGTTCAGTTTAGAATTACAAAATCTTTTCATCTAAAACTTACATGAATAAAAAATACCATTTAATACCGTATGTTTAATATTCAGAATATTTTCACTCAAAATGTTTTTTTTATCAACAAAAATATTATTGTCTATTAAAAATTTCACAAGAGAAAAAAATTCCCCTTTAGAGAGAATTTTTCATCATTTTTTTCTATATTTTATTATTTACCTCTTATAGCCCTGTAAACAGGTCTTTCTGATCCACCTGGGAAATTGGAATTTGACTTAAAAATTAGAGAACTAATTTTCTTTAATTCTAATTGATTTTAATTGATTTTAATTGATTTTAATTGATTTTAATTTAATTTAATTTTAATTAAACTTGTAATATTTATAAGTAACCATTTTTATTATAGAAAATAAAGTTGATTTGTTGAATTCCGGTTTAGTTATAGAGAAGACATCACATATCCGCATTCGAGCACGATAAATGCCATTCGTACCGTTAAGATCCATTACGGGTTTATGCACTTTTTACTACGTCTTAACTACTTTGATATTTACGTTTCAAAAATATTCAATTTTGGTCTAATCTTTTTTTTTATTAAAAAAAATACACAGAATATAAATAAAAATATCTTTATGACTATTTTGATAAAAGAAATAAGTATTTAGAAATATTTTTTTTTAAAATAAATATTTATTTAAATATAAAATATTTCAATTTATCACTCGGTCTTTATTTAAATATTTAATAAATATTTCAATCAATTATTATTTAATATTTATAGAAATTTTGTTTAAATATTTCAATAAATATTCAATATTTTAATCAGTTATTATCTAATAAATAGTATAAATCTTTTTTCTCTTCTTTTTAAAAATTAAATATTTACCTAGATATTTAAAAATTTATTTAAACAAATATTTTTAATATCTAGGTAAATATTTAATTTTCTTATTTATTTAAATAAATATTTTAAATATCTAGGTAAATATTTAACTTTTTAAAAAAGAAGAAACAAGAGATCGAGTTAAAAAAGTTAAGTAAAATCTATTTGAGAATTTTTAGTGTCTTAAGTTTCTAAATTTTTTTCAATAACTCACCCTTAATTTTTTCTTTCTTTTCGACGAACAGTGAAAAATTAAATTTGAATGAAACGTAATGAGCATAAATTTCTAAGTTTTATAATTTGAATAGTTTGAAAGATGTTTTTATGAATTTTTAATACGATCGGCATAGTGTTCATTTATTGCGCAGTTATTTCTAAAGAAAAATCTAACGATGAAAGTATACAAGTTTATTTGTTAAGATTCAAGAAAGTAATTAGATAATTAAATCAGTTTTCCTGTTTTGCTAAGGAAAATTCCTTCCACGAGGACATTTAACTGCAAAAATAAATAAACCTGTGGAATCTTATCATATTTTCTTCGTCGATTCAACTTTAGCCAGTTCTATTAATTTAGTGGAGAAAAATATTAAAATAATTCTTTCGACGAATTTAAAAAAAAAATTTAGAATAAATGCAATTTTCTATCATTTTATTTAAAATTGTATAAAAAATAATTAAAATTCTGCGATAAGCTTTTGTTATTTATAAAAATAATTGAATTCTTGAAACGAATTTTATTAAAAATTTTATTAAAGAATTGAATTCTTGTGAAGAATTTTATTTGTGAAAATAATTGAATTCCAGAGAAAATTATTATTATTTATGAAAATAATTAATTTCTTGTGAAGAATTTTATTTTCAAATTTTTTTAAAATAATAATTAAATTTCTCAGAATTTTTTAAAACTTTTTCAAAAAAAAAATTAAATTCCATCGGAAATATTTTACGAAAATAATTGTATTCTTCGATCAATTTTATTATAATTTTTGAAATTTATAAAGCATTTTATCAAATTTTTTTTAAATAATTGAATTCTGGAGAAAAATTTTATTATTTATGAAAATAATTGATTTCTTGCGAAGAATTTTATTCAAATTTTTTCAAATAATTGAATTCCCATGAAAAATGTATTATTTGTGAAAATAATTGAATTTTTAAGAAGAATTGTATTGGAAATTTTATTAACTAAATCTTGTAAAGAATTTTGTCAACAATTTTTTTTTAATAATAGAATTTTTAAAACAATTTTATTTAAATTTTTCGAAATAATTGAATTTCTCAGAATTATTTTTTTTCAATTCAAAAATAATTGAAATATTAATTTCTAAGTAATAATTTTATGATAGTTCTTGAAGAATTATTTAAAAATAAATTATTGTCGAAATAGAAAAAATTGAAGGTTTCCTATTAGAATTCTTGACAATTAATCGCAGTTTGCTGAATTTTCGCATTTTATTATTTTAAATATTAAAAAAATGTTTTGTATTAAAATACAAGCGTTAATTAATTATAAAATAGTTTAAAAAATAATCAGTCGCTCTTTTAAAATTCGTTACTATCTAAAATTTAACATCCATCATCAAAATATAATTTCACATTTTCACGTTCGTTTAAAAAAATCATTTGACATTTTCTTTTGCACTCACAACTATCGTAAAGTCAATTAATAGATAGAAAAAGTACAATCGCACCCTTTTTCTTAATATTTTCTCATTTTCATTTCGTTTCACAATAATTAAGGCATCGTAGAATAATTTAAACTTGAACCTGAGTACAGAAATGTATTTACAGAAAAAGAAATTTTTAATACATAAGTATTGAAAATTTTTTTAAAATCTTTAAAAAATTTTAATACATATGTATTGGAAATTTTTTTTTGATTCGTTTCTCTGTGGGCAAAAAATGTATTAGCTGGGATCGTTTTTATTTTCGCCGGGACTTAAAATCTGTATTATGTACTGTAGCATTTTTATTAAATCTTTCTCTTGATTTTCTTCAGGCACTGTTATCAGTGTTAATTTGCCGAGTACTTCCTGAATACTCTGAGCGAATCCCGTACTTCGAGCTATCAATTTTCCCTTTTGATTGTTACTAATTAGGGACCATAGCATTGAGCCAACGACTCCAATTTCGGCAGTTGAGCCAGTTTTGAATGTTGTGTGAAGGAGATTTATAAAGTCGACTGTAAAATAAGAATTATCTTAATATTAATATTCATAATTAATTATTGATTACAATTAATTAATTTAAATGATTTTTTCGTAATTAATATTTTAAGTATTTTTTATTATTACGATTAATATTCTTGATCGAATATTTTTACTGTTTTCTATTTCTCTAATTTACTTTTTGAGTTAAAAACATTTTTCCTTGCAACTTTTTGCTTTAATAATTTTCTTCTGTTTTATTCTTTTTTTATATTTGATTTTTTATTCATTTATTTTATTTCTCATTTGTATTTTATTTTTTATTTATTTATTTTACTTGTTTATTCTTTATTTTATTTTTTTTTTTTTAATACCTGATGTTAAAAGTCGTGGTCGATTCGTTACATTAAACGCCACATTTCTGAGGGTTGACAATGATAAAATCCGTGTCGAGGGAGTGGAACATCGTGCCAATTGTATAAGAACATCCAAACCATCAACAGCCTGAAAATAAATTTTTTAAAGTAAATTATTCACATTTTTGAAAATAGAAATAAAGTAAGAAAAAAATATAAATTCTAAAAAAGGGAAATAAGAAAATTAAATAAATTCTAAAAAGTAAAATAAGAAAAATAAAGAAATTTTAAAAAGTAAAATACGAAAAATAAATAAATCCTAAAAAATAACAAGAAAATAAATTTGAAAAAATTTTTTTTAAAAATAAAGTAAAAGAAATGAGGAATTAATTTTAGAAAAAAAGAAGAGAAAAAAGTAGAAAATTCTCACTTTCGAAACACTCAATTGTCCTTCCTCGTAATATGTAAAGTCAATAAGAAATTCAAGACAGTAGATTTCAACTAAAGGCCACGGTTTCACTCTTTTTGTACTCGCCGGATGAATTTTCATGAAAAATTGCAAAAGGTTGCTCTGAAAAATAAAATCGTGGGAATTAATCACTTAAAATTTATTTGTACAAAAAATCGTCACAAAGGTTAAAAATATAAAAATTAATATTTAGAAAATTTTTAAATTCTTTTAATTTTTAATTTTAATTGTAATTATATATTTTTTTAAAATTTTATTTAAATTTAATCTTATTTGATTCAATTATTTAAATTCATTTAATTTTCATTAATTTAATTATTTCAATTAATTTATTTCTAGTAAATTTAATTATTTCAATTAATTTTTTTCGAAAAAATTTAATTATTTCAGATAATTTATTTCCAATTAATTTAATTATTTCAATTAATTGAATTAGATTTTCATTTAATTTTAAAATAAAATTAAAATAGAAGCAATCCATTACCTTTGAAATCGCAACTCGACACTCGTGATTGTGAACCGAATTTCTCAGCGCATGAAAAGCAAAATGCAATTTTTCGTTCTCAAACAATTGACCTGCCTTTTCAATTTCCTTGCAAACCAAATGAATGATAACATGAATCAAAGCAACGGTATTTGGCGTTTTTCGAAGTCCCGTTCCCGGTAATGTCGTCGTCAATGGCAAAGATTGAGCGGCTAAAAAATATTATTTTAAAAAAAACATATAAAACATATTTTTTAGAAAAAAAAATTATTATAAAGAGGGATTTATTTAAAAACGACTTAAAAAATCGATTTTTTTTTAAAGCCACTCCTATTAAATACAAAATTTTCTCAAGAGAAAACAAAATTGTTTCTTATTATTTAAAGTAATTGAGAAAATTATTAAACAAAAAATTGACAATTCAAAAAATATTGAAAAAAGATTGAAAAAAATTGAAAAAGATTGAAAAAGATTGAAAGAAATTGAAAAAATCGGAAAATTATTTAAGCTGAAATGAAATAATGATTAAGAAGAAAATACGAATAAAAATGGACAATTAAAAAAAAAGATTGAAAAGAGATTGAAATAATTTTAAAATAATTGAAAGAAATTGAAAAAATCCGAAAATTATTTAAGCTGAAATAAAATAATGATTAAGAAGAAAATACGAGTAAAAATCGTTGAAAAATTCACCTTCAGGGCAATCGGTAGTAAAAGTAGCAATCAGTTTCAAGCCTGATATTAAAACGCTTTTGTGTAGAGCAATCCAGGCCCATAATTTATGTAAAACGTCAGCTAAACCAGCTTTCGCGAATATTTCCTTAACCTGAATGCTCTTGTACATGAAATTCATTAATAATACAAAAATAGCATTCACTTCATGTAAAAGAGGATGAACCTGGTGAAAAAAAGAAAATTTTTAGACAAAATTAGAAATTGCAAGGCAAACTAGGTGCAAACTAGGTGCTGAAATTCCGTAAAGGTCGGTAAATTTGCTTAAAGTTCGTAAAAGTCAGTTTTTTTTTAAAAAAGGTCCGTAAAGTTCGTAATTTGATTGAAAAAGAACGAAAAGTTCGTAAATTAATTTCTAAATTAAAAAAAAATTCTACCTTCTTTTCACGATCAGTCTGACTTCTGTACAATTCAAACGGTTGAAGATTAAGTTTCACGTACAATTCCTTAAGCATCATGAGGGAAGTTTCGAGTAAATTTTCCTCAATTGCGACATTTTTTGCCTCATCCGAAACGCAGAGTAAATTCGTCAGTGCTCCAACAATGAGATCCTTGTCCCTTGATTGTTTATCGGCCTTCTTTGTTTTTGCATAGCTGTGCGCAATAAATAAATGTAAAAGTATTTTACATATTTCAGAACCAATTGTCATAGTTTTATTATTGCCGATTGGAATTTTTTCCTCTTCATTCGATTTTCTACCGTGTAAATTTGAATTTCTTATCGAAAGTTTATTGACATTGGATAAAACTTGTTGCATTGTGTAATTATCATTGTTTTTAATTGCCAATGACGTGTTACTTGTGTCAAGTACATCCTTCAATGAGAAACTCCCCTTTTTAATGTCTTTCTGTAATTCTTGCGACAATAAAAATGCGAGACATCCAATTGCACTCATTTGCAATTCTGACGCTGAATTTTTCATTGCCTCGTAAATTGAATTGATAATTATTTCCGGATTATATAATTCTAATGCCGTTTGTATTGTTTCGAGATGTTGATTTTCGGTGAGGGAGAGAACGGCGAGGAAATTGTAGACTTCTATCCAAAATCGATTTCGTAGATAAATTAATCTTGGACTTACTGTGTCTGGAAAGAAATTTTTCTTTATTTTACTAACTTAATAAATTATTAAAAAGTATTTAATTTTAAAGTAAAAATTATATTTTTTATAAAATAAATAAATTATTGTCTTAGTAAATTAAATCTTAAAAAATTGTTATCTTAATAAATTATATCGCATTAAATAAATATCTTAATAAATTCTAATTTAATAGTAAAATAATTAAATAAAATTAATTTAATATTTTAAATAAATATACGTACAATAAAGTTTCTTGTCGAGAAATGAGAGGAGCAAATAAATCGAATCTGGTGAATATGAAACAACCGATGCAAATTCATTGCTGTGAGTGATGCAATTCGTCAAAACTGTACAAAGACTCGTGTACATTTCCAAAATATCGCAATAATTTTCCAAACTTTTTTTACATTCGATATTTTGCGGAATTTCCTTAAAGCAACTGAAAGAAAAAAAAATTAATAACTTTGTAAATAATTATAAAATTTCTTTTGAATTTTCAAAATTAATATACATTGAAATGCATTGAATTCTTACGGAGAATTTTATTAAAAAATTTGAAAATAATTTTTCTCTGTATTTCAAATATTTTCAAAATCTACAAATTTAAAAAAATTCTAGAAAATCTCTTCGTTAAATTTTATTAAAATTGTATTGAAATTATTTATATATTAATTATTCATTAATATTATTATTATGAAATTAGCAATAATAATATTATTTAGAAAAAAAACCGAAAATAGAATTTTAATTAACTGCCAATTTCATATTTTAAATTAAAATAATTTGACCTTTTTTTTTACCTGAATAAATACTTGTCCATTGAATGTTCGTAAATTTGTTGTATTACTTCATGTTCTCCAACAATTATTAAACTATTTAATAAATTGCAAAGAGAAGAAATTAGAGACGGTGTTGCCACAAAGTGAGGATAATTCTCTTCTTCCATTATTTCCGAGTCTTTCAAAGAAACTGTTAATATAATTAATTTTATTGAATTATTTTATTAATATTATTAATTATTATTATTAATTCTATTTTATTAGCTATTATTTAATTTAATTCTCATCTTCTTAATTCTTCTTATCTTCTTCTATTATTATAATTTTTTTTATTCAATTATTTATTTTAATAGCATTTAATTTATTTTAATGGCATTTATTTAAATTTCCAATATTTAATAGAATTTAACTAATAATTGAAAAATTTATTTTGTTTTATTATTTATTTTGTTTGTAAAAAATTTATATTTGAATTTTTTTTATCCAAGGAATTAAAATTATATTTTCCAAATACTCACGAATTTGTAGATCTTCTGGACAATTATAGAGATAGGAAATGGCTCTCGGTACCAATGAAATACTCGAAGTTTCGGCCGATTGAGTTTTTGAAATTTCATTTTCATTTTCTTCAAAATTTAACGATTCAGGATCTAAAGAAGAGCGAACGTAGCAATTTGAGCAGAGAGCACTTATTTCATAGTAAAAATTACTTTGCTCAATGTAAATAATTATCGCGTTTGGTTTTAAAGAATCCACCTGAAATGGGGAAAAAAAATTAATACTTTTTATTATTAAAATCATAAGTTTCATAATATTATTGAAAAAAAGCATTAAAAACCCGTGAATTTTTAATAAATAAATAATAGGAAAAAATAATAAAAGTATAAATAGTAATAATAATAATGAAAATAATAATATAAAAAATTGACGCATAAATTAACATATTTATTATTCTGTTAATTTGAAGGTTTCGATTTTCAAATTACGAATTTACTCACATATTGATAAGCGGAGGTATTGCAATTTTTAATCAAATTACTCAATGCAATGCACGCTTCCTCTTTAACGATGCAGCATTCTTTTTGATTTGTTATGCAATAAATGAGAGAATGACATAATTCACTTGGAGCAAGAACAACGGCATTTAAAAGTTGCGAAGCTGTATGCATTCCACTAATTAAACCAGCGAGTAATTGAAATGCTGACGCGCGCACTAATGGATCTCTATTTTTCCACAACATTGGCAACCAACTCAATGATCTTCCCTCCTCATACCAAAAAGTCGTCCAAGACTGAAAAAAAGAACAACCAAAATTTAAATTGCAGATTATAAAAATTACAAAACGAAAACATTGTAATTTCCAAATAAAATTATTGTTTCCAAATAAAATTGTAATTTTTAAATCAAATTATAATTTCCAAATAAAATTATAGTTTCCAAATAAAATTATAATTTCCAAATAAAATTATAGTTTCCAAAATTATAATTTCCAAAATTATAATTGCCAAGTAAAATTATAATTTCCAAAATTATAACTGACAAAATTATAATTTCCAAATAAAATTATAATTTCCAAAATTATAATTGACAAAATTTCAATTGCCAAATAAAAATTAATATTTTGTAAAGACTCACACTTTTCGTCAAATTAATTTGCATCTGATGCAGTAAATGATTGAGGCAAATTATCGAATTTCTGGTAATCGAGAGTCCCATAAAACTGACAGTCCCCGCACCATGGAATGAAATGATAAGTTCAATTAGTGCATTTCCGAGATTTATGAGAACTTTCTTATGACCGTGCCACTGGCATTTGCCAATTAAATACGTTAAACAAGTCAAAAGCCAATCGAGATAAGCTGCAAAGAAAAAAGAGAAAAAATAAATATAATTTTCATTTGAAAACTAAAGAACGAAATTTTTGGCTTCCTCCTGCAAAAATTTACCCAAATTGTAAAAATGCTGTTGATCGCCAAAACACAAATTAGAAACGACAAGTTCAATGAAATTAATCCACGAGTCCTGTGATTCATCCTCCTCAATTGCATATTCCTCGCTCGCCGAACACGATCTCGCTAATCGTAAAACAGATTGATGAACATCTTGATTGGCAGTGTCTAAACTCCTCAATAAATCAGACAATGATTTTGTCATATTCTTCATTATTTTACATAACCATCCAGTTTTTCCTGTAGAAGAATTTTCTTATTTAAATATTTTTTCTCTCAGAGAAAAAAAAACGTAAATTAATCTCTTTGAAATTGAGAGAAATATTTTTCAATTAAAATACTGCTTTTATAAATATGTAGATTTTTAAAAATTAAAAAGATACCATTTTTAATTTGATTAACGTAGACGTAGAGGAAATTTAAAACATTCACAAATAGTTCGCAATCCTCACGACTCGATGGGTGGGAAAGTAGAAAACGTTCGAACGACTGTCCCCAGGATAATTCGCTGATGTCTTCTAAATTTTCGTAAGTCATCATGTGATACAATCTCATGTACCTGGAAACGAAAATTTCAAGCGAGATTAGTAAAATAATTCAAAGGAAAATATTAAAAATTAAAAATTAAATTTAAATTAAATTTAAATTGAATTTAAATTAAATTTAAATTGAATTTAAATTAAAATTTGTTTTTTTTGGTAAATAATTAAAATTATTACATTGTTAAATAATCGAGTGCAGAGGAAACTCCGTCGTGAGTTGTGGAATTTTGAATATTACGCAATTGTTGTTGAGATTGAAAAAATGCGCAACTAAATTGCAATGATGTGAATTCAAATTCGCGAATCATTAATTTTTCCGCAATATCGCGATCGTTCACGTCCTCCCATGATTTCCATAAGATTTTCCTCCCTCCATTATATTCCCAGGCCCAGAATATTCGCACGAAACTGATCGCCAAATTATTGCTGCCATGAAGAACTGAAAATTAATTTTCAAAGTTGAATCATTCTTATTTTGAGAAGTAATAATTAACTAATAAAAAATAGTCACGTTAATTTTTAAATAAATAGAAAATAATAAATAATTACAAATAATAAATAAATAACAAATAAAAAGTCGAGAATAACAAATTGTAAATAATAAAAAAGAAGAAATAAATATTAGAAAATAACAAAAAATAATTTTAATCATTTTGAGGAGAGAAGATAAATTTTTTTTCCATACCAGCGACATCAGATCTTCGATGAACACTCGACTTCCAATGATTTTTACACAAAAATGGAAGTTTCATTTGCTTTGCTATTAAATGAGGCAGAGAAATATTCAGTGGATTATTTTTATCGATGTACTTTTCGCCCAATCTTATAATAAATTCATTGTAGATGAGAAGACACAAAAGTTGAGATGCGTCAATTTTCACTGATTCGTTATTGGGAAAGAGAAATAAACCTGAAAAATAAAATACTTTTGGATTAATTTCAACACAAAGGAAATAAAAACAAAAATCGAAGAATAGAGAGAAAAAAAGAGAAGAAAAAAATCTTATTTTCTTTTTTTTTTTTGGCAAATACTTTATACTCACTTCGAAGGATATTGAAATACAAATCAATTCTAGTCGATAATTCACGACGAATTGAAGATTCAGAGGCGCAAATTAATCGTAAAATTGTCAGAATTGGTATCACAGAATCTGGATAATTGTAATAATCCTTTTCGACCTGAGAAAAAAAAAGTTTTTAAATTTTATTTAATAATTTCTCAAAAGGAAAGAAAGAAAGATTATTGAAAGAAATTTAAGGACTGTGAAAGAATTATGTTTTTTCAATTACCAAAGCACTTGAAAATATCTCCAATATTATTTGTAGACCATTCTCGGCGACGAAAAGTTTGTGTAAAGAAACATCGGTCATCATAACACTGACTTGAATTAAAGCCGATTTTCTTATTTTTGGCTCAACATTTGAAGTTTTTAGCATTTCAAGAACAGAAAATAAACTGCTTCTCTGGAATAATTAGAAAGAAAATTCAAATTAAATCAAAATTTCTCAATTTAGAATAAAAATAAAAAATTTTAGAAATAAGAAATTAATTATTAAATAGAAAAATTAGAAACAAAAATAGAAAATTTAGAAAAAGAATGGAGAATATTTTTAGAAAATTAAAAAAAAGAAAATTGAGAATACTTTCAGAATATTTAAAATAATAGGAAATATTATTAGAAATTTAAAATAGGAAATATTTTTGGAAATTAAAAATAATGGTAAATAGTTTTAGAAATTTGAAAATAATAGAAAATATTTTTAGAAATAAATAAAAATAGAAAATATTAGCAAAATTTTAAAAATAAAGGGAGAAAAGGAAAGAAAGTGGGTATTAATTACTTGATAACTGCCATCGGGTCGTTTGAAGGGAACAATCCGTTCGAAAATACAAAGAGAATTCAATGGCAATCCATGCAAAGATGATAATTTCGGTAATTTTTGCATGGAACCATTTTCTTTACCAAGCAACCAAATTAATCGACAAACTGCCTCCTCCCTTACTTCTGGATCAGAAGCAAAAAGAAGTCTCAAATTTCCCTTTAAAACCTGAAAAAAATCCAGTAAATTAAAAAAAATCTCATCTTTAGATTAATTTTTTTGAAATCGAATTGAAAAAAGTGTTTAAAATGAAAAAAGAAAGTATTTAACAAAAAAGAATTCAATAATTACTTAATTTACTAATTAAAATTATTGTTTTCAAAAACTTTAATAAAATTCTTCGCAAGAATTCAATTATTTTCAAGACAATTTGAATAAAAATTTCTCAAAAAAATTTAATACTTTTTAAATATTTGATTAACTACTTCGCAAAAATTCACGAATTTAAAAAAAATATAATTAAATTCTTTATGAGAATTGAAATATTTTCCTTATAATTCTTATTAAATTCCTCGAAAAATTTCAATTATTTTTGAAACTTTTCAAATAAATTCCTATCATAATTTTAATTATTTTCAAAATTTATCAAATTTTTTTCAGGAATTTAATTATTTTAAAGAATTTTAATAAAATTCTTTTTAAATTCAATTTTTTTTTTGGAAAATTTTAATTAAATTCTTTATGAGAATTGAAATTTTATTTTGGATTGAAAATTTTAAAAGATTTTTACCTCAATATAAGGAAGTTGAATATCATTGGAAACATCGGGATCGAGCATTTTTAAAACACATTGTCCGAGCGAGGAATCAGTGTTTGAGAAACATTGCAAAAGAGGCAGAACAGGAAGGATGGATTCTAAAATTTTCATCCAACCTGTCTCACCAATTTGTATTTTTCCCTTTAAAATGTACAGCAACATTTCCTCTGCCATGTTTCTGATCTAAAAGAATAATTCCTCAGTTAATTTTATTTAAATAACTGCACAAATTTTGCATAAAAAGTTTTAAACAAAATCTAATTAATTAATCATATTTTTTTCAAATAATTAATTATTATAATTATAATTATTACTAATTACTAATGAATTCACAATTGTTTCGTGAAAAATTCTGGGAAAATTCATATAATTATAAAAAATTATAATTTTTGAAAATACCTTTTTATTTTCGTGCGTTACACCGTGACAAATTATTTCTGTCACGATTGTTGGTTCGAATAAAAACCCCAAAATCTCCCAAGATCGTTTGTCTCTTGTGAATTCTACGCCTAAAATTGAGACAACAGTCGAGTGGCATTCTTCGTACATGGCGCATTGAATTTCCAAATCTCCGTAAGCAAATAAGCCAGCCGTTAATTTTGTCACAATTTTCCGCTCCTCCGAATCGAGTTTATATCTAAAAAAAATTTACAATAATTTGTAGTTGCAATTAAAAATCATTAATTAAATTAAATTTTTGCAATTATTGTAGACAATTTTTCATTTTTATTTTATTTAAAAAAGAAAAATAGAGTAATAAATTTAATAAATTTGGAGGCAAAAATCACTTACTCTTTTATTCGTTGTAGAAAGGAAACAATGACTTTAATGAGTCTCAAATTCTTGTGATAGGAAAGACTCAATTTTGAGGCGTATATCATTTTTAGAGTTTCTGCATTTCTCTCATCGGGAGAATTTTTTAACAACAACAATGCGGCCTTCATTGACTTGATAATTTGTCGAGTTTCGTCCAATAATTTAACGCACTCCACTTCTTCATTGCCACAAAATTGCTGAAAAATCGAAAAAGAAACATTATTTACTAATAATTAGGAATAATTAATTATCCTGTTTATTTACAATTTTCTTAATTGAAAAATAAATTTCTTTAGTAAAATTGAAATATAAAAATATAAAATAAAATATAAAAGAAAATATAAAACATTGAGTTTTATATTTAAAACTAAGACGACTGAAAGATAAATTCAAATATTTATTAAATTTTAATATTATTTTCTTATTTATTAAATTAATATTATTTTCTTACCCTCGCGTAATCTTGCAACAAAACATGCAACGAAGGATACATCAAATAAATAGACGCGTCCATGCAGGCGACGCAAATTGTTAATTTCAATTCTTTTGGTAAAATAACGTCGGCCAATTCAAGTGGAACGATATTACTCAATAGTTTCGTGACAATTGTGATTAAATGTAAATAAGTGATACGACAGTGATCAACGCTGCTGTAATTGCCAAAATAATCGACAACCTCACTCAATAATTTCAACATTTCCTTGAGTTCTTCCTGTAATTTCAAAGCAACACCATCGTTGCATAGCCAAATATTTGGCATTACGCTCAACGTCAATAGTTGAACTAATTCATAGCTTAAATCAGTTATTTGTTTATTAATTTTTAATGGTCGTTTTGGATCGTCCGGTAGACTCAATAGTGAAATTACTCTCATAAACGATTCCACGCAATATGTCGGGATTAACATTTGTTGTAGTTGCAAAACTGAATCGTCAACATTTCCAATTACACTCTGACTTCTGTCGCTCGTTCCCTGAAACAATATTGGAGAAAATATTTTACTATTTTTATTATTTTTTAAGTCGAAAGTATAAATTACTTCCGACTTCTGTCACTCGTTCCCTGAAATAATTGGAAAATATTTTACTATTTAAAAAGAACGTCGACTGACTTCTGTCACTCGTTCGCTAAAAAATTTGGAAATATTTTACAATTTAAAAGAACAAAAATAAAAAAACAAAATTACTTCTAATTTTTGTAAAATTTCTGATTTTCTTTGTAAAAAAAATATTCAAAATAAAAGAATGTTATAAATATTAAAAATATTAAAAAGTAAAAAATAAAAAAATGTTAAAAATATTAAAAATAGAAAATGTTAAGAATAAAAAAATTTAGAAAAATAAAAAATAAAGTAAAGTTGAAAATACAAAAATTGTAGTAAAATTTTGGTAAATTTAGAGAATTAAAAACTCACGGCTGATTGATAAACTTGATAATTGGCTTCCAATAAACCTCCATCCGGACTGTCTCTGTCCTCGGAGGAAGCGTAATTATTACTCTCTAAGTTTCTCGATAATTCCTATATTGAAAGTAAATTATTATTATTATTTTCATTATAGAATTACAATTATTATCCATTAAATTTCTACAAAGTAATTTATTATTATAATTGCAGATAAATTATTAAAATATTGTTTCTAGAATTTTTAATCAAACTTCATCTCTAAATTGATTATTTTTAATAAATAATTTTCCGAAAATCAGTTATTAATTAATATTAATTAGTAAATGGAAACTAAGAAATTGAAAATTTACCTTTTGCTTTCTATTTGCAACGCAGGGATCGCAGTAATAATAAATTCTAAATCTAAGGGATCTCGTTAATTTATGCAAGGCCTTTAAAACCACCAGTATCACGTCTTTTAAATTAGCATTAGTGTCGATATCGCTCGAGTTGAGCAAAGCATGCAGCACCTGAAATTAAATAAAAATAATTAGATTTATTTAACTAAGAAAATACAAAGTGATAGAAACATTTTTCTATTTTATAATTAATTTCACTGTCAAACGAAAATTAAATAATTAAAATATTTACTATTCGTTCTAATTAATTATAAATAATTATTATTCATTTTACAATATTTGCTTTTTGTAATTATTTTGGAATCAAAAAGCAACGTAAAAAAAAGACCTACAGTTGTAGATTTTTTTATTAAAAGAATAATTTTTTCTTGACGATAATTTACCAAAACTATTGACGGTCTTTGAAGAAAAACTTCGGCGGGAAAATCTTGTAGCATAACGTTTGTGATAAATTGACAAGTGTGTAAAATAAGATTTGTCTCGAGAGTGTTTGCGAGTGTGTCCTCAACAGCGGACAAAACTCCTTTGTCCGAAGGAACCAACGGTTGCCAGGGCATCACCAACCACTTTATACCGCCTTCAATTTTTTTCGAAACAATCGTTCCACTTCCGCATTGTAGAGTCAAATCAAATGGCACTGAACTGATTTTGAAATGAAAAAAAATTAATTATTAAATTAAAATTCACAAACAAATATTTCATATTAATAGCAAAAAAAGTATCAAAAAAACTTTCTTATTTTCAAATTATTATTTTATTATTTTATTATTATTATTTTATTTTCAATATTAATTTACATTTTGGAATAATTTCAGATGAAATTTTTTTTAAAAATTGAATTATTAAAGAATTAAACTAAATTAATTATAATTATTTATTGTTCTCGAAAAATTAAATAAAATTCTTCGTGGGAATTCAATTTTTTTTTAATATTATTTTAATTAAATTTCTCAAAAGAATTTAATTATTTTGAAAAATTTGATTAAATTCTTTGCAAAAATTCAAATGATTTTGAACGAATTTAATTAAATTCTTTACGAGAATTGAAATATTTTTAATACAATTTTAATTAAATTACTAAAAGAAATAATTTTCGTTTCTCGTACTTATCTAACGTCGAGGGGAGAATAGAATTAAATTGCTCTTGCATTTTTGGTCCATCGTTTCGATACTGATAATCGTTGCTATCTATACATTCATTTCGATAAATATTTACTCCATTTGGTGCCTTTGAAAAAAAAAGTTTATTATTAACTATAATTCAAAAAATCAAAGGAAGAGAATTTAATTTAATTAAAAAATTTCACTTGAAATATGGGAGTAAAATATTTTTCTTAAATTAAATTCTTTCGTGTTTATTTAATCGAGAATTATTTAAGAATCTGTAATATTGTGCTTTTAAATTTTTTACAATTTTAACAGATAATTAAAAGAATATTTCACTCTTTATTAATTTTTATTTGGAGTTTAAAATCAAAAATTTCTTTCTTTATTAATTTTTTTTGGAGTTTAAAATAAAAAAAATACCTTTGTAACATTAAGAGTTGAATCCAATGTATCTTCCTTTAAATTCACCACTGTTTCTTCGATTTCATTTAATTTCTCCTGCCATTTGCCACCAATTTTCTTTCTCAGTGTTTGAAGTTCATTTTGAAATCGTAATTTTCCGAAAGCGTTTAAATAACTCGAACCGCTTGTCTAACGAAATATTAAAAAAAAACCGTATAAAACATTTTTTTGTTTAGAAAATAACCTGTAGTTTATTTTACAAAAAATAATATAAAAATAGAAATTTTAAAACAATTTTCTGTTTAGAAAACGGATAGTTTATTTTACAAAAAATAATCAAAATATAGAAATTTATAAAACATTTTTTTGTTTAGAAAAAAGTTTATTTATACTATAATTTTTGGACTGTAATAATTTAATTTCTTTTATTAATTAAATAAAAATTTAATTTCATACGAACCTTTATTAATTTAAGCAATAAATCGAGTACTTTCTCCGGACAGGGAACAATTTCAAATGAAAACCAATTAATAAGTTTAACGAGCAATTCCTTTTTGACAGCATCGCAATCACAACCAAAACCGAGATTAAATTTGGAAATAATATTATCCAAAGCTCTCAGTCTTATTTCCTCTATTGTATGATCTTTAAAAGAAAGTTTTCTTTAATTAAACTTTTAATCTTATATTGTAAATTATAATTTTTCGAGAAAAAAGAAAATATAGAATCAAAATATTCAATTAAGGTTATGTTTTGAAAAAGAAGTGTGAATTTACATTTAGAATAAAAATTGAGAGAAATGAGAAAATTACGTACTTAATTTTTTAACGTGAACAACTGTTATTGTATTATAATTAGTCATTTTGTAAATTATCTTCTGATCCTGATTGTAAACATGTCAAATTATTTTTGAGGTTATGTTATAACTGATGTTGACGACCCGCCAAAACAAACAAGAGACATTTTTTGGATTTACTTATCGCTAGTTGTTGTTTTTGGAAATTGACACTATTCCATGGCGTTGAGATCGTTTCGGCGTTGTTTGAAAATGTGAACTGGTGGGGGACTTCCGTTTGGGGTGAAAATTAGTTTTCAAATTTGCCACCATAACGAAGCGCTAGGTTCGATATATCGATTTAGTTCCGCGCTCATCGCCGCTCGTGACGCGCGAATATCGCCATTAGTCGAGTTTCCTCTCTATGTGATGGTCGATTGTTACAGTTCATTACAGTCATTACAGTTTGTTGCAGTTTGTTAAAGAAACGTTTTGAAATTTTAAGTGTTTAGCGTTTTTTCAGAAGAAAAAGAAGTGATTAAAGAATAATTTTCCGAAAGTAGTTGTTTAATGAAAAAGATTTAACGAATCGAGTGTATTTTTTGGCAATCGACATTATGATTAGAGTTATTTTTCTCAGAGAGTATTTTCTGCATAGGAAAAGGTTCTGCAATTCAGTGCTTTTGTTTTAGGTAAGTTTATCCATGTTTTGTTAACAATGAAATTGTTTTTTGTTCTTTTTTGGCGACCAACTGAATACCAGCGAATCCAGCGATGAAAGAATTCAGTTAGTTTTTTTTCTTGTTTTACGTTTTGCTGATGCAAACTTCGTGATTTCTTTTGAAAGTTTGCGTATTTAGTGTATTGGTTATATTAATCGGACATTTTTTGTCAAATATAGAACGTTTTGATAACATTTATAATATATTTTGTATATTTCGCTAAAATTCGGAATTTTTACCACTCGACATAACCTCAAAATTTTTTTTACAATTTTCGCATACGAATTTTGAGTTTTTGACTCGCGATATTCAATAGAATTTTTCACTAAAATTAATAATTATTCGAAATGTCAATAAAAGTAATAATATTCGTTTTTCAATTGCATCTCTGAATAAAACCTGAAAGACAAATTTATCAAAAATATTTTGCATATTTTTCGACAGGTTTAAAACTTTCGTATGACAATAGATGTTTTATTTAATTTTGCTCATAATAATCATTAAATTTATTTAATTATTTTTTTTCTATTTATCATTTATTTATTATTGTTTAATTATTCAATTAAAACGCATTTAATTATTGATATTAAATTAAATAATTATTTTCGTGTTTAAAAGGCGAAGAATTAAAAAGGAATTTCCTAGATTTCTTTTTTTAAAATTCTTTAAAAATTAAAAGAAATTACGTAAATGTTTTTGCTGACAAATAAAAATAATACCTAATTAACAAAATTTTTGAATCAATTGTAAAAGTAATTAATAAAAATCAAAAGCGTATGGATTATTAATTCTGTAAATTAAAATAAAAAATTCATTGACTATCGAAAAAACTTAAATATTTTTGTAGAATGAGAGGAAATAATTTTCCTGGCAAGAAATAAATTTTTGATTTAACATTGAATGAATAATTTTGATTCTATATTTTGACAAACTTGAAAACAAAGTTTTTCAATAAAAAATTTTTCAAAAAAAAATTTATATAAAATAATATACAATGGATTTTTATTTATGATTTTCATTCAATTTAGAAAAATTTTTTTGTTTAATTTTTTATGTTGTTTTTTTCTTTTCAGGTGTCTAAGTGTGAAGCAAGAAATCATTCAAAGGAATAAGAAAGACCATATCAAGGAAATTCAAAGTAATAGGAAGGAAATTAAGAAGGTAAATTATTATTCAATTCATGAAACATACAAAAGGTGAATAATTATAAAAAAATATTAATAATTATTATTGTAGTAATTGTTACAATTATAATAATATAATATTATCGCTAATTTAGCTTTTTCATTAAATAATCTATTATTCTATTTACAAACTTTATTTATTGTTATTAATATATTTTAATTACAAATATCATTAGTAATTATAAATAGTTAGTATTATTAGTAAATAATACAAATTATGATAATATTATCGAAAGTAAAAATATAAGAACGAGAGATTTTGACAATAAGTTCCCAGCTCTGCTCGTGAAACAACCAGATATCCGCCATCTTTTTCGAGAAATTTCTCATCATTTTTATCCTGGCGCAAATTTCATTTTATGGCACTAGATAAAAAGCGAATTTTTAATTTTAAAAACAATTCAATTCTTTTCAAAAATAAAGATTTTACACAGGAATTCAATTATTTAAAAAAAATTAAAAGAATTCTTCGTCAGATTTCAATTATTTTCAATTTTTTAATGAAATTTCTCGATGGAATTTAATTTCTTTTTCAAAAAGATTTTAAAAATTCTGTAAAATTCAATTATTTAAAAAAATTTGAATAAAATTCTTCCCAAGAAATCAATTATTTTCATAAATAATAAAATTTTTCTCGAGAATTCAATTATTTAAAAAAATTGTGATGAAATGCTTTATAAATTTCAAAAATTATAATAAAATTGATCATAGAATACAATTATTTTCGAAAAATATAACATTCTTCGTTGAAATTTAATTAATGTCAAAATTGTTTCTAAAAATTTTCGAAACAATTTAATTATTTTCGTAAAAAATAAAATTCTTCGAAGCAATTCAATTATTTAAGAAATTTTAATAAAATTTTTCCTAAGAATTCAATTATTTTTAAAAATAAACATATTTTACACAGGAATTCAATTATTTAAAAAAAAATTTAATAAAATTCTTCGTCAGATTTCAATTATTTTTAATTTTTCAATGAAATTTCTGAATGGAATTTATTTATTTTTTTTTAAAAGTTTTTAAAAAATTCTGAGAATTTTAATTATTATTTTAAAAAAATTTGAATAAAATTCTTCACAAGAAATTAATTATTTTCATAAATAATAATATTTCTCTCTCGGATTCCATTATTTTCACAAATAAAATTCTTCACAGGAATTCAATTCTTTAAAAAAATTTTTAATAAAATTCGTTGCAAAAATTCAATATTATTTTCATAAATAACAAAAGCTTACAGCAGAATTTCAATTATTTTTTATACAATTTTAAATAAAATGATAGAAAATTGCATTTATTCTTAAATTTTTCTTAAATTCGACGAAAGAATTCAATTATGTATTTTTAAAAATTTTTTCATAAAAATTCAATTTTAAGAAATATTCAATTATTTAATAAATTATTTTGTTTTGTTTTTAAATAATTGAATTCTCGAAAAATTTTCTAATAAAAATTGATTTAAATGGTGAATTTTATTTAAAATTTTAAATTATAATTTGAATATTAAAAGCATTATAGCGTGAATTTTTAGAAATTATTGAATTTTGAAAAGGGTTCAAAATTAAAATCTTAGAAAATTTAAATTTATAGTTAAAGTTAAAGTTAAAGTTTGTCTGCTGTCAATTTTTATTAACAATTGATATTATTCAAGGCATTTGTAACATCTGCTAAATATGAAATAAAAGACAAGAGATAATTTGATTTTTTTTTTATTTTTTATTATTTTCATTATCGACAGGAAAGCTTCGTTCACAATTAATCTAGATTGAAATTCCTTCGGACACGTTTTTTTTCTAACATACATAATTTATTTGAAGACAATCGAACAATATTCTCAATATAACAATAAAAATCTTTTCTCTTTTATATATCACTGTCGCACTTGTTTGGTGGAAGCATTTATAATTCTTTTAATTTATTTCTTTCTTTCTCTTTTATTCAATTTTTTTTGTTTGAAATTTTAAAATACTTTAATAATCAGTTAATAATTATGCAAAATCACGTCGTCTTTTCTCCTACGGGCATTTTGACTGAATGGAGAATAATCCATTAATGTAAATCGATTGATTGCTTCAACCAACGCGTCGACAGTGCACAGAGCGAATTTTCGAAGGTTTATTTAATTAGCTGATGAAATAACTGGATTAATTCAAGTACGTATTTCTCTAACAAGGTTCGCATTACAATCAGATAATGCCACAACATTGATTATGTGAGTCATTTAACTGCATATAAACGTATAAAAAGATTAAAAACTATCGTTATAAGTGCGCGTAATCGTATAATCATATCATCGCGTCTTCGTCGTTGACGGGTGTACATAATATCGCTTTTTTGCTGTACTACTTGTTAAACATATATTTATATAGATTCTCTCATCTCATGAGAAAGTATTTTGGTTTTCTTTTTTTATAATCACTATTTGGGTGGTTTTAATTTATTCCGTTCAATCAAAATTACAAAATGCACTCGGAATACAAAATTATTAGTTTTTGTAAATCGATTTCTTTTTTTATTGTTCATTTTTTTTGTAATATCGTAGATATTGTTGCGAAGCAACAATTTTTTTTTGTCTCAATTTGATATTCTTAAAAAAACTGTATTCAATTATTTTGAATATTTTAATGAAATTTCTCGATGGAATTTAATTTTTTTTATTTTTGAAAAAGTTTTAAAAATTCCTGAGAAATTCAATTACTACCTATTTCAAAAAATTTGAAAATAAAATTCTTCACAAGAAATTAATTATTTTCATAAATAATATTCTTCTCCTGAATTCAATTATTTTCACAAATAAAATTCTTCACTGGAATTCAATTCTTTAAGAAATTTTTTAATAAATTTCGTTTAGTATAATAAAATAATTTTGTAATAAAATTATCATTTTATTTAAAATAAAAAATTTTTTAATTCCTAATTAGATTTTATATTACATATTATTTTCCATGAATGGTTAATAATCTATCAACTCAGTTCAATGGTCAGTCGCTTCAATGAGCAAATAAAAATAGAGATCAATTTAAGTTTAAAAGAATATATAGCAGTGGTATAGTAGTAGTAGTAGTAGTGTAGAAGAAATCAATATAAATAAATTTCATTTGTTGTATAAATTCAAAGAAAAATATAGAAAACGAAAAGTTGTATATTCTTTTGAAATAAATGAAAATATTTAAAAACAGAAAATTTATATATTTTATATATATATAAAAATTTTCCGAGTGCATTTCAACGTGATTGGTACAGCGTAATAATATGAAATCGATTTCCTGTTAGTGCAGCCTCTGATACTTTGAACTACACTCACGTATAATATAGAACTTTATTTTCTGAGTGGGCGAAAATTGTACACGAGTTTAGCGCAAATTTTTGCTTTCTTTCACACTCCCTCAACTCTTTCACTCTTCTTTTTGGAAGATGAATAAACGTTTTCTTAGTAACAGGTTAAAACTCTATTTACGCTTTGCGTGTGTAAATATACGCTATAATATATTTCGAAGGGGTTTCTTTTTCTCCAACAAATAGTAAAATTTTAAAAAAAATTAAAAACATGTTTTTTCTAAAAAAAAAAAATTTGAAAATCGTTTGTTCTAAAGTGTTTGTGTAAATCGAGCGACGGATTTATCGTTATTAATATAGATTTCTCAATGACTTGCGTACCATATTTATTTTATTTTCTTCTTTGGTAATTAATATTATTATTCATTTTTAGTAAAATTATTATTGTTTTTTTTAAAAAAAGATCCGGAATTTGATGGAAAAAGGATAATGATAATAATAAAATTCTTCCCCGAATTTCAATTATTTTCGAAAAATTTTAATAAAATTCTTGGCAAAATTTCAATTATTTTCAAAAATTTTCCTCAGTTTAATGATTTTCAATATCTACTATTTTAATAAAATTTTCCAAAAGAATTCAATTATTTTAAAAAATTTTAATAAAATTCGTTGCAAACATTTAATTACTTTTATAAAATAATAAAAATTTCACATGAATTCAATTATTTTTATAAATAGTAAAATTGTTTGCAAAAATTCAATTATTTTTAACAAAATTTTAATAAAATTTCACGAAAGAATTCAATTATTTTTATAAATATAGTAAAATTTTTTGCCAAAATTCAATTATTTTTAACAAAATTAGAATAAAATTTCACGAAAGAATTCAATTATTTTTATAAATAGTAAAATTCTTTGCAGGAATGCAACCGATTTTCAAAACAATTTTAATTTAATTCCTCGGAAGAATTCAAATATTTTTCAATATTTCCATAAAATTCAATTATTTCCAAAAATTTTAATAATTTCTTCGAAATAATTCAACTATTTTTATAAAAAGTACTAAAATTCTTTGCAGGAATTAAATTATTTTTAATTCCTAAATAAATTATTTTTAATCAAATTTAAATAAAATTACACGAAAGAATTTAATTATTTTCAAAAATTTCCATAAAATTCAATTTCATCAAGAATTTGAAATTCTCTAAAACTAATTCAGTTATTCTCGAAATATTTTTAAAAAATTCTATATGAAAATTAAATTACTTTCAATGAAATTTTTAAATATATTCGTCAAAAAAATTGAAAGAATTCAATTATTTTCAAAAAATAATAAAATTCTTCTGATGAATTCAATTATTTTAAATATATTTAATTTTAATGAAATTCTTTACAAAAATTGAATTATTTTCGAAACAACTTTAATTGAATTTTTCTAAAGAATTTAATTATTTTCAAAATATATCTATAAAATTCTTCAATTATTTTTATAAATAATAAAATTCTTCTCGGGAATTTAATTATTTTCACTACAATTTTAATAAAATTCAATTGCTTTAAAAATTTTAACAAAATTCTTCGCGAGAATTCATTGAATTATTCAATAAATTATTTATTTTTTTATTTAAATAAGTGAATTCTATTAAATTTTTTTTAAGAAAAATTGATTTAAAAATGAATTTCAGTTAAAATTTGAGATAA